TCACTGTAGCTCTTTTTATCTTGCAAAACTGAAGCTCTATATCCATTAAATTACAACTCCCCATTTCTTCCTGCCCTTAGACTCTGAAAAACACCATTCAACTATGTGTCTCAATGAATTTGACTACTCTAGGTACCACATATAAGTGAAATCATACAATATTTGTCTTTTTGTAATTGGGTGATTCATACAAAATAAAATTCAGCGTAGTCTTTGGAAACACATTTTTTGTCTAAGAAGCATAAAACCACACTTGAAATGAATAAATCTTTGAAATCTCATACAAATTTGAAGTGAGGTTCTTGTAGCATAGCGTTGGGTTATTTTTTTAATCCACTGTCAATTTCTCTCTTTTTATTCCTATTCTTAGATCATTTACGTTTAAAGTGAGTATTGATATGCTAGGGCTTAAGTTTGCTATTTCATTATTTACTTTCTGTTTGTTCCTTTTGTTTCTTATCCCTCTGTTTCTCTTTTCTTGCCTTCCTGTAGGATACCTGAACATTTATAACAATTCCATTTTGATTTATATATAATATTTTTAATACAGTTCTTTGAAAAGTTTTTTTTTTTGGCTACTCTATGTATTACAGTATACATTACACATCACAATCTACTGGCATCAACATTTAAACCACTTGAGTGAAGTGGAGAAATTTTATTTCCATTTAGCTTCCTTTGCCCTCCTCTCATTTAAATATAAATAGTTTATGCATTTCCTCTATGTACATTGAGCCTGCCTTAGCTAATGTTGTAAGTTTTGCTTTAACCATCAAACATGATCTTAAAAACTCATGAGGAGAAAGTTATTCTGTTATGTTTACCCCCACTTTTACTCATTTCATTTTTCTTTCTTCCTTCCTGAAGTTCCAACCTTCTGTGTTATCATTTCCCTTCTGTTTAGATAATTTCCTTTAGCCATTCTTTAAGGGTTGCTAATAAACAGTTCTCTTAGATTTCATTAATCTGAGAATGTCTTTATTTCCTCTTTATTTCTGAAGAATGTATTTGCTAGATATAGAATTAGTGGTTGACAATGGATGAGAAGTGGAGGGCCTCCTAGTCTTGCCTGCATTGCACCACCTCCTTCAATTTCCTTGACGCCAGATGAGAGTGACACCTGCGTGAATGGAAAAGCTGAATGCCAACTAACTAGCTCTCCCTTGGACTTTCTCATCTCCCTCCTTGGTGATGATTTGTAGAGGAGGTCTTACTCCCCCTAGACCTTGGTGCAGCTCCAGCAGAGTGCTGCTTGTTTCTATTGGGTAGGGGATTGAAGTGGAAGATCTGATTCCTGGTGCAGTCATCAGAGACATCAGAGCACCACGACTTACTTCCACATGGGAAACAGGGGGTTGAAGATTACCTACCCACTCAGCCCTACTGAACCTGCACAAAGGAATGGGTCACTTTGACTGAGGTGAGGTAGGTTTGTCAAAAAGATGTTCTGTTCTGTTGAGCCACCATTTCCCCCAATCCTTTGGCTAGGGGAAACATGCTTTTCTTGGAGCTTTTCTTTGTTGATAGTTCTTGGTTGCTAGCTTCTCTAGTGCCCAATCAGGGATATGTGAGGGGGAAAACAAACATTCAAGGGGCCAATCACAGTGGCTCATGCATGTAATACCAGCACTTTGGGAGGCTGAGGTGAGTGGATCCCTTGAGCCTAGGAGTTGGGCAAATTGCTTGAGCCTAGATGTTGAAGATCAGGCTGGGCAACATGGCAAAATCCCATTGCTATGAAAAATACAAAAATTATCTGGGCATGGTGGCTGTATTAGTTCATTTTCATGCTGCTGATAAAGACATACCTGAGACTGGGAAATTTATAAAGGAAAGAGGTATAATGGACTTGCAGTTCCATGTGGCTGGGGAGGCCTCACAATCATGGCAGAGGCAAAAGGCATGTCTTATATGGTGGCAGGCAAGAGATAATGAAAGCCAAGCAAAAGGGGAAACCCCATATAAAACCACCAGATCTCATGAGACTTATTCACTACCATGAGAATATGATGAAAGAAATGGCTCCCATGATTCAATTATCTCCCACTGGGTTCCTCCCACAACATGTGGAAATTGTGAGAGCTACATATCAAGATGAGATTTGGGTGGGGACACAGCCAAACCATATCAGTCGCATGTGTCTGTAGTCCCAGCTACTTGGGAGGCTGAGGTGGGAGGATTGCTTGAGCCCAGGAGGTGAGGTTGCAGTGACCCAAGATCATGCCACTGCACTCCAGCTTGGGTGAGAGAGTCAGACCTTGTCTCAAAAACAAAAAACAAAAACCACTCAAGTAACTCACTGCTACCATGTGTTTCCTCAAGTCTCAAGGTCCATAGGCTGTCCTTACTTCCAACTGTTAAATGAAAAACTTCAGACATATGAAATTTAATAGAGTTTATTTGAGCAAAGAATGATTCATGAATTGAGTAGCACTCAGAACCAGAAAAGGTTCAGAGAGCTCTGCCCAGCAATGTGAGCAGCAAGCTTTCAGTAGTCTGATCACCGACTCAAAGTAGAGAAATCACCTGATTGGCTATACAGCTAGGCATTTGTCTTATTTGAGGATGGGTTGATGAGAAGTCTCTAATTACATAACCAATCAGCTGGTTGGCTGTTTGCAATTGGCTGAGGCTTTTGTTTTTAAGTCAGCTAGAAGAAATGTTTCTAAGTTAAGTTCCCGTTTGCTTATGTAAGAGCCCTGGTTACAGACACAACTTCAGGCTAATGGCATCCTATTTATTTTGCTTTAACACACCTTTCAGAGTTTCCTTATGCTTGTGATATAATATGTTTGTGGCATAACAATACAATTAAATGCAACCATATCAAGTGGATATTGTGATAAGTTCTGTCAAATTTGTACCTTTGTGTATCCACCACCACAATCAAGATATAGAACATTTTCATCACAACAGAAAGTTCTCTTGTGCTCTTCCTAATCAACACCTTTCCTCTACACCCAGGCCTGGAACACCCCTATCTATTTTCTGTCACTAATGATTAGATTTGTTTTCCTAGAGGTTCACATAAATTTGTTATCATTCACATCCAGGTTCATTCTGCCTGTGTGCAGTAAGTTAATCACTGTAATGACAGGTTTGCAAAAGAGAAAGAGTTTATTCATGAGGCAGCCAAGTAAGGAAGTGGGATAATAGGTCTCAAATCCATTTCCCCAAAGATAAGGCTTAGGGATATTTATGGGTTAGAGAAGTTAGGTGGCCTAAGGCATGGGGAAAGGTGATTGGCAGTGTGGAAAAAGTGAAGTAATCAATGATCTATGCAAGCATATTTGGGTATTATGACATTTCATAGGACATATATTCAGAAAATGTTAGTGTTAACATGATCTGTGGCTGGAGTCTTTGGCCTTCTGACACAGAAGTTGAAAAGGCCACCTCTCAGGCATTTTCACAGGCCCAATTACAGGGTCAGTGGTTTCAACTAGTTTATACTGGACAGGAGCTGCTCCAAGTTCCTGAAAAACAACTGAAGCAACCGTTTTCATGGTGACTTTTAAAGGTTATCTACAAGGTAATCAGTGAAAGTTAAGTTTTAGCCTTCAGTAGTGTAGCCTTCAGCATTGTGGCCTTCAGCTACAAGCCCTTCAGCTTCATGGAAAACAACAGCAAAAAGCAAGCAATCACAAGCAAGTAGGGCAGGCTAAGTTTGGTGGACCTAATCAGATTAACCCCTTGGTTTCCAATGGAACCATACAGCATGAACTCATTTATGTCTGGCCTCTTCAACTAAGCATAACATTTCTGAAATACATCCATGCTGTTGCATGCAGGAATATTTAGCTACTTTTTATCGTTAAGGAATATTCTGTTTAGAAATACACCACCATTTGTATACTCATGTATTTGTTGTGGTAGGCAACCTTTAAGATTGCCCCCAGTGATCCCTACCTCCTGGTACTTGAGCCATCTCTAGCATTGAAAGTGGGCTGTAATTAATGACTTTCTTCCAACTATAAGACATTCAATAACAATACTTGGTAGTGAGTCTTCTTAATTTTAGACATCCTAATGGAAGCATAGTGGTAACTTATTATTTTCTTTTGCATTTCCCTTATTACTAATGATGGTGAGTATCTTTTCATATTTTGCCATGCATTATGTATTTTCTTATAAAATGTCCATTTAAATCTTTTATTCCCTTTAACAATTAGGTTGTTCGTGTAGTGAGTTATAAGATGTCTTTATATATTTAAGATACAAAGCCTTTGCTGGATATACATTTTGCAATTTTTTTTTCAGTCTGTGGCTTGCTTTTCAATTTTTGCAATGTTATATTTCAAAGAGGAGAAGATTTTAACTTTGATGACGTTTATCAGTGTTTTCTTTATGATTCATGTCTTTTGGTCCTTTTGGTCATTTCTAAAAAAAAACTGCCTGTCCCAAAGTTACCAAAATCTTCTCCCATGTATTATTCTAGAAGTCTTATAGATTTTGCTTAGCATTCTGGACTGTTACCTGTTTCAAAATAATGTTTGTGTATGGCATGAGAAAGAAGACAGTGTTCATTTCGTTGTTTAAATATACATTTTTAAAAATCTAGGGCTGGGTGTGGTAGTTCATGCCTGTAGTCCCAGCACTTTGGGAGGCCAAGACAGGTGGATTACCTGAGGTCAGGAGTTTGAGATCAGCCTGACCAACATGGTGAAACTCCATCTCTACTAAAAATACAAATATTAGCCGGGCATGGTGGCATGTGCCTGTAATCCCAGCTACTCAGGAGGCTGAGGCAGGAGAATCACTTGCACAAAGGAGGCAGAGGTTGCATTGAGCTGAGATCATGCCACTGCACTCCAGTCTAGGAGTCAGAGTGAGATTCAGTCTCAAAGATAAATAATCTAGTTACCTTGTAGTAGGAGCAGCTGCAGGAAACAGATCTCTCTGACACCGAATATTGGAGGAAGGAGTTTATTCGGCCGGGAGCCAGGTGGCATATTTGCCTAATATCCAAGCTCCCCTAACAAAG